AAATTTGAACAGAGGGAACTTCCCAGAGACTCACACTCTAACCAAGGACTATTCATGGAGATAACCTAGAACCCCTGCACAGATGTAGCCCATGGCAGGTCAGTGTCCAAGTGGGTTACCTAGTAATGGGAAGAGGGACTGCCTCTGACATAATCTGATTGGCCTGCTCTTTGATCACCTCCTCCTGAGGGGGGAACAGCCTTACCAGGCCACAGTAGAGGACAATGCAGCCACTTTTGATGAGAACTGATAGACTAAGACCAGAAAGGAGAGGAGAACCTCCCCTATCAGTGGACTTGGGGAGTGGCATGCATGCAGAAAGCGGAGGTAGGATGGGATCGGGAGGGGAGGAGGGAGGGGCTTATGGGGGGATACAAAATGAATAAAGTGTAATTAATAAAAAATTAAAAAAAGAAAGCGGAAAAAATTGAAATTCAGACATGATTGTTCGAAAAATCTCCACCTATTGTGCCATAAATCTCTCTCCACCAGTTGGTTATATCCATGCTTTCATTTATTTTATAATTTTTTTGAAAATTTTCTATATGAATTCTGAGTCTATGCTATTCTCCCATCCTTCCAACTCCTCCCTTGCACTCTTAAATCCATGCTCTCTTTTCATTATTATATAATGTGTATATAGACACACATATATACATGCCACCTGCTGCATCCATTTGGTGTTATATATGTATTTGGGTCTGACCACTTGATGTTAGATAGCTAATTAGGGGTTTCTTTTCTAGACAATATTGATTTTCCCTTTCCCAGCAGTAGTAACTTGTCTGAAGCTCTTCATTGAGAAATAGGAGCTTTGTAAGATTTCTCCCATCCGCATTGGCATTATGGTTGTGTCATTGTTCAGGTCTTTTATAAGCAACGAAAATTTTTGATATTTCATAAGTATAGCTTCCCTGTCATATATTGATGATACAATCTTGCAGCAGATATTCTAGTCCTCTAGCTCTTAAAGTTGTTCTGCCCCATTTTCCAATTATTTTCTCGGAGCCTTAGGCATAGGAGTTATGTTGCAAATGTATCAGGTGCGGCTGGGCACCTCATGGTCAGTTGTTCTCTGAAATTTTACCAGTTGTAGATTTTTGTGATGGCCCCTGTCTGCTTCTTTGATGTTGCGAGAGAGCTATACTTTTATGGGTAGAAGGGTAAATATTTAGAATGAAGTCAGAAATTATGCTGGCTTGGGAAAGTGGTAGTAGTAGGCTTTCTCCTAGGTTTTATGACTCCATCAGCAATGAGTAATTTGCTATGTTTTCAGTAACAGGCATGAATTCCCTCCTGTTCAGCAAGCCTTAAATCCAATTAGACAACTGTTGGTTACCACAAAGCGCTAAGTGCCGCTAATGCATGGTTGGGGACCTCTCACTGTGCTGGTTGTTGTCACAGTTTATAGGTGTGACATCTAGGTAACACTATTGATTGCTTCTCTTTCTTTGGCAGTTTACGTAGCACCTTCTGTGCTGTGAAAAGTAGTTCTCAGGGAGGAGGTTTTCAGGTAGGATCCAACTTGATTCCTCCAAGTCCTGCATCCAAAGTGTAAAAAAAAATATGTCCAAAAATGTCCCTAGTAATTACAGAAATGTAAATCCAAATGAATTTTGATATTTTAAATTTACCAACTCAAAATGGCAAAGATCAATAAAAAAAACAAAAAACAAGCAAACAAACAAACAAACAAACAAACAAAAAAACACCTGAAAACAAGTGCCAGAGTGGGCATGTGGGCATGAGGAAAAAATCATTCACTGGTCCAGCCCCTCTGGGAAATGGTTAACTCACCCCATGTGGTGGTTTGAAGAAAAATGGCCCTCCAAGGTCCATAGGGGTACTTCAGTTAGGAGGTGTGGCTTTGTTGGAGGAAGTGTGTTTCAGCTCTCTTCCTGCTGCCTGCAGATCCAGATGTAGAACTCTTAGCTTCCCCTCCAGCATGCCACCCTATTTCCCAGAATGAAGACAATGGACTAAACTTTCCTCTGAACTGTAATCTAGCCTCATTTAAATGTTTTCCTCTAAAAGAGTTGCTGTGGTCACGCTGTGTCTTCACAACAATAAAACCTTAACAAAGACATCCCAGATAGAGGACCAACAATAGACTGAAGAAATGATTCCACCTGACTCTAGCTTGATGGGCTAACACATTTAGTGTTACTTAAAAGAACATGGGCAGGTTATAAACAGATGGACCATTGAGGAAAATCTCTTCCTACTGCATGATCGAATGTTCTTGGAGAGACACAAAACACACATATTCTAAGCCCAGAAAAGGAGCCTGCAACAACCCAAAGTAACAACTGTACCAATGTCCAATTTGGTAAACGAATGAGATTTTTATTAGGTTGCTAATAAGAGGATGGGTGAGAGGTTACTTACAAGGAGCAGGGAGGAGTCAAAAGCAGCTGCATCAACAGAAAGCCCACCCCAATATAGGTAAGGACTCATGAAAACTGCATCCCTCGAGCTCTCTACCAAGAGTTTGCAGGCTGCTCAACAATCAGAAAGATTTTCTCTTTGGGGGTGGGTGGGTGGGAGGAAGGTGGGTAGGGGGTTCTAGACAGGGTTTCTCTGTGTAGCCCTGGTTGTCCTAGAATTCACTCAGTAGACCAGACTGTCCTCGAACTCACAGAGATCTGCATGCCTTCTGGGATTAAAGGTATGTACCAACACCACCACCAGGGTCAAATTATTTTTCATTCTGCAGTTTATCTGGTTAGAGGTTCCATCCTGAGCAATTGTTTACTTCTTTTCATACTACTGAGTACAGTTCCTTAAGAACTGTCCAAGTTTCTATTGTTCTGGATACGGGACCTTTTGTTTCTAAGGGTTATAAGCCTCCCTTTCCTTCCTGGAGCAGATGTTTCAATTTGGAGGAAAGGGGGAATATACAATATCACCTTCTCAACACCCTTTGACTTGTTTATAAGCCCTTAGGGAAGGGCAAGGTCTTTCCAGCCCCTGCACTCTAGCAACCTTCACTTGCTGATATTTTCTTTGGAAGAGGTGGGGCCTCATCATGTCCTCTTATCTTCACCACAAAACAAAGCCCAATATCTTATGGTTAACTACTAAGTTCAGGAGGTAGCAGCCTTTGTCATGCCTGAAGACTGTTTCATGGCACTTATGCTTACTAGTTTTAGGTTAGTTTGACACAAGGTATCATAAAAAAAGGAAGGGACCTCAATTGAGAAAATGGCTCAAGATCCAGCTGTGGTCCATTGTCTTAATTAGTGATTGATGCCCAGTTTATTGTGGGTAGTGCCATCCCTGGGCTGGTAATCCTGGGTTCTATAACAAAGCAGGCTAAGCAGGCCATGGGGAGCAAGCTAGTAATCAGCACCCCTCCATGGCCTCTTTATTAGCTTCTGTCCTGTTTTCAGTTCCTGTCCTGGCTTCCTTCAGTGGTTGATGGAACAAGCCTTAAGTAATTTGGGACATGATGGAGAGAGTGGGGACTGAGAAATTACAGATTAAAAGAAAGAGACAGAAAACTTGGGATAGTTTTGGGAGAACTATCAGTCAATACTGAAGGCGCCAAGTTTATTCTACAGCTCCTTTTTAAAGCCAGAAAAACAGTTCACATCAGTACAAGGATGGAGTTCATGGAAAAGTTAAACTTGTTTTCAAAGACAACATTCCTGTATGGCAGACAAGGTCTGAGGTCTCACAGACAAGTTAAAGAACCTTGGCAAAACCTCCTGCTTATCTCTGTTTCAAGGTAAAGACTAGGGCAAAAACATGCCCCTTGCTGAACACCCAAAGCAACCAGCCAGGCAAGCAGCTCTCCACACACACAGCTTGAGAATGAACTTTGGCTTCCTCTTTTCTTTTTTCTTTTCTTTTCTTTTCCTTTTCTTTTCTTTTCTTTTTCCTCGCCTTTTCTTTCTTTATTTTTTTAAAGACCATAGCTTAAAAGCTATGGAGGAGAAGCTATGGTGCCTGTCTTAGGTTGTTTTTCTTGAAAGACATATTCTTACTGGTCTTCAGTACATGAATTCTATCATTTATGCCCTGTCTTAGGTTGAATATTCCTCAGAGATATCTTACCCATCCTTGGCTATCCAATCCTGCTTTAAGGGGAATGAACGGAAAGCTGAAGCCATAACTTATGGACTTCTGTCTTCACAAACCAAAGGTTGCATATGAAAAACTTCAAAGCACAGGGAAAAAGCAATGTCATGAGTAAAAGTCTAACTCCAAAGCAAAACATTCCTCCTATCATAGAAATAAAAGGATGCCAAGATAACAAAATTGCTCCAGAAGAAAAATTAGCTGCTTTAGCAACACCAAAATTCAAAGGTTTAGCCCCTTGCATGGATGCTACTTCCAGACCAAGTCTAGAGACAAGTTGGTGTGGTGCCATACTTTCAACAAGTGTTTCTTAACTTTATACCAAGTGAAATCACTTTCATTATAGCATAAAGGTATAATAACAATCCATTGATAATTAGCATGACCATTTAAACTTGATTTAATATTTAATTCTTACAATTCATCTCCTAAAACTTGCAGCGTTTCATATAGAGCATCTATTCTCAGTTCTAATCTTTCATAGGATATTTTGCAGTGCTAAAATTACAGTAACATTATGAGATAAATCATTAACTTGCTGTTTGTATTTCTTGTGTCAAAGCAATAGCAGCTGTCATAGCTGTAGTTATCAAAGCAATCAAAACAAAAAATTCCTGCTATAATCAAGCCTGCTATGCATTTAGTTCTACTCAGAGCTCTCTGATTCTTCCAACACCTTCAAACATTTATCTGAATACCAAGTGGCTGATATATTTACAGGAACCATAATGAATGGTGATTGGTATAAAATCAGAAATGAAGTTCCTTCAGCAACGATAAGCAATTGGAAAGGTAACAATTCAAGCAAGAAACTTTAAAGTGTACAGACATATTTTCAATTTTAGTATTACCTGACAAAAATACATAAGGGTAGGTCAAGCAAAAAAAAGGTATTTTATTGAAACCATGCCCATAACTAGTGTTATTAACCTTTGTATCAATATAAGCATGAGGATACATTACTGCATCCACTTTCCATAAATGCCTTTGAATATAATTCTTAGGAATAATCCAAATTCCTGAAGCAAGCTCTTTATTGCCTAAATTCATTTGATTCCCTGATCAGCTAATTATCTTGGTGACATTACTAACAGAGAATTGAACAAGTATGTTGTGATAACATTTCCAATTAATAGACTTATTATATGTAGAATCTAATAAACCACCTGATTTTAATGAACATGGTCTGACAGTTTGTGGATATAAAACTTGAGAAATATTCGTCACTTCAAACTGGAGCATACCCATCATGACATTTTGTTGAGTATTCTTTGTGACATTGGCAGTCCATGTTTGTGATGTAAGGATGACACATCCCTCTTGAGTAGCATTCTTTGCAAAACATCTAGGAACAGCCTTTCTGATGACAGCTGTGAAGTCACTTGTTGCTCAATCCAAGAAAAGCCTAGTAATGAGTGTCATGAGTGGATATAAGTACTTCTGAACCATCCCAAGGAACAGGATTGCAGCAGAGGACGATCAGGAACATATGAACCCAGTATGGCTCTCCTGTTGCACTCATCAACAGAATCAGTATGATCAGAAGCAGTGGCAGCCTCTGCAAACCACACCAGTCACTCAGGTAATCAACAAGCATTTTCAGCACCCTGTGGAAAAACACAAACATGGGCCTGTCCCCTTATCAAAACCAGGTCAGCACCATTCCATTGGGATCTTGCCATTTCACCACAGTAAATTTAGTTTTTGGATGCCAAAAATGTTCTGCAGCTGACAGTTTGTCCAACTTTTAAAAAATTAAACAAAACATGATTTAAAGATTTTGTTGGAGTCTGTAGATATAGCTCCTCCTTTTTATTTATTTATTTTTTTGTAATTGTTGCTTTAATGCATCATGTACTCTTGGAATAATACCTTGTCCTCGTGGGTTATAAGGAATTCCAGTTTCCTGGGTGATATTAAATTGCACACAGAATTTTGAAATGCCTTACCAATATATCCAGACCTGTTGTCTGTTTTAATGACTTTTGGTATACCGATAATAGTGAAGCATAATAAACAAGGAGCCATAATGTATTTAGCAGCTTCTTCAGTTTGTGCAGAAGCAGAATTAAAGCCAGAAAAAGTGTTCACTACTATATGAACAAGTTTCTTTTGTCCAAACTCTGATGTGAGTAATATCCATCTGCCAAAGTTGATTAGAAACAAGCCCCCATGGATTAACACCTACATGTGGAACAGTTGTAAATTGTGGACACTGGGCATTGTTTTAGAATTTGATGAGCAGCTTCACGGGTGATATTTTCTTAGGCTATTGCTATCTTGATGATGCAAAGCATGAGATTGTTGTGTTAATTCAATTTGAGAGAGGGCAATAAACTTGGACTGAGTTAGTTCATCAACTTTAGCATTACCTTCTGATAATGGACTGGGAAGACCAGTTTGAGCTCTTATACAACCAACATAATAAGCATGCTTCATGGTTCTCATGCAAAGTTGTATCTGCTGAAATAACTAATATTTGCTTATTGCTCGTTTCTAAATAAGGAACATTTTCTAAAAGAATTAAGGCTCTAGCAATATGTTGACTATCTGTAAAAAGGTTAAAAGGTAAATTGGTAAGAGTTTAAAAAATAGCAGTGACAGTTTTTAGTTCAATAACTTGAGCATAAGCAGGTTTAAAATTAAGTACTGTCTTTTTTTTCTTGAACAATAAATGCTGCATTATCATTAGAAAAACCATTAGTGAACCCTAGTACAGCTTGAGGTAAAGGTGATCTTAAATTAATAGGAAATATAAATTCATGCATACTTAACAAATTACAACTTATGTTCTTTATGATTATCAATGTGTCCCATAAAATGTGAAAAATCAATAGGCCGTAAATCAGTATTTTGAAATAACCAATCAATTTGTATTTTAGTATAAGACACTATACCAGTGTCAGAATCTTTACCAAAGTATTTACTGGACTCCATTCTAGAGTTCTGAGCTAACTTTGCCACTGCTTCATAATTAGGAGTACTTGCACGGACAGATGATACAGGTAAATGTATCCAAGTAGAGCAGTGGGTTTTGAGATGTAGGTAGTATGTATGGCCCTAAAGGCAGGTCATAATCAATATATGACATTGTTTGATTACTAATTGTCATTTCCACCTTTTCTCATGCTAGTCTGCCTTCCTCCGTGATTGTCCTGACAAAGAATTCGAATCTCTCTTTAAAATGTCAAACAAAGGTTTCAATTCTCTAGTGGATAACTTTAATAGGGCTGTTTCCAATTAATAACACCCAATAATTTTATTTAAGGTCTTCAAATCACACTTTCTTAATTGTATCTTTTGTGACAAAATACTCTTGGGATATAATTGCTGTCCTAGGTATTTATTTTTTTAATTTATTTATTTTTTATATTAATCACAGGTTATTTACTTTGTATCCCAGCCGTAGCCCCCGCCCTCTTTCCCTACCAATCTGACCCTCCCTCCCTCATCTTCTCCCTGCCCCTTTCCAAGTCCACTAATAGGGGTGGACCTCCTCCCCTTCTATCTGACCCTAAGCTTATCAAGTCTCTTCAGGCCTGGCTGCAATGTCTTCTTCTGTGGCCTAGCAAGGCTGCTCCTCCCTTGGAAGAGGGGGGATCGAAATGCTCGCCGTTGAGTTCATGTCAAGAATAGTCCCTGTTCCCCTTATTAGAGAACACTTTTGGACACTGAGCTACCGTGGGCTATATGGAGGCTCTCATTGCACACTTTTCAGGAGCAATTATCAATCCATACCTTTGCAATGCTTCTTGCAAAGCAGTAAAAACATGTAATATTTTTCTTTCTTCTTTATTGGCTAACAGTATATCATCTATATAATGTTCAATATATATTTGAGAATACCTTATTCTTACTGATTTTATAGCATGAGCTAGAAATTTTTGACATAAGGTGGGACTGTTAGCCTTACCTTAGGACAAGACTTTCCAATGGAAACATTGCATAGGTTCTCTAAAGTTTATAGAAGGAACACTAAAAGCAAATCTTTTACAATCTTTAGGATATAAAGGTATAGTATGAAAACAATCCTTTAAATCAATAATAATCTTAAATGTATTTGCAGTTATGGCTGAGGGGTAAGGGAGACCTGGTTGTAATGCTCCCATCAACTCCATAGTCTCATTCTCTTTCCTGAGATCTTATAACAATCTTATTTCTCTTCTTTTTAATTACAAAAAACGGGGAGTTAGAAGGCTTATGACCACTGTCAAGATGCTCCTGTACTAGCTACTGTGCAGCAGATATGTTTTCAGCTGTCAGAGGGAACTGATCAACCCATACATGTGAATCACTTTTCCAAGTGATTGCATCCGCATGAAGTACAGAAGCGTCAATGACCTCAACCAAAAATATCCTAACCCTTTTCTAAATTGACAAGGTTTAGGAGCAATAGGTTCTATTTCACCTTGTTGTCCATTGATTCCTAATCCTTGAGTTGGAATACATCCTGGATCTAGTATAAGATTTGTAACTTTTTCATTGGGACTATAGAGAAGTACTCCCATTTCTGACCTAATATCCCTTCCCCATAAATTTACAGGTAAACCTGCCACTTGATATGGTTGTAATTTTCTACTATAACATTCTTCATCTTCCCAAGTCAGAAGAGCACTACTTTGTTCAGGACTCTGACACTGACCTATGCCCTGTAATTGGATCATGGTCACTGTTATATCAGCTCGTTATCTAAAAGTCTCCCAAAATATTTTCCATTATTTTTTTTAAATTTTAATTCCGGTCTATGAGATTTAATAGCTTGTACTCAATAAGCATCTGATGATCCAAATCCAGTTTGACCTCGAGATTCTCTTTTACATCTATGATTAGTCTTTACATGTGACAATAAAATTAATTGTGCTATTCTTTGTCCAGGTTGTCCAGTTATGCCTGTTGGAGATGAGGTCATAATTTTTTTTTCTCCAGTATAATCACAATCAGTTACACCTGGAGCCACAGATATTCCTTTCATTGCTGCACTGCTCCTAACCAGAATCAATCCCAGTGTACCTTTTGGAATTGGTCCATAAACATTAGTAGGAAGAACTTGAATTCCCATCTCAGGGGTTAATACTGTGTAGGTGGAAGGACTGAGAGTCAATCCTGAGGTGACTCTGCAGAGGTCCTGAATGGATTTCCTTGCTGGGAAATAAACTGCATTGCTCCATAACATTGTTTCAGGGCCAGGGGCTGTCCCCTCATCCCATTTCCCTGGGGTAAAACATTCCCCTGATTATCAGTTTTAGATTTGTATTCATTCACCCAATGTTTTTCTCTTTTGCATCTGGGACATAACCCGGAATTCCTCACAGCAGAACTAGGATAGGACTTCATCTGATGTCCCATTTGTCCACATCCAAAGCAGCAACCTCGAGGACCAGCCACAATTTTTTTTTTTTTTTTTGGCCTCCTTTGCTTTTGGAACATTAACTGCTTTATTGTTTTGCCCTGTAAAACAGCAGCCATAGTCAGACCTTGAGTATATGAGGGACCAATGTCTGCACAATCAATGTATAAATTCAGCAATATCTCCTCTTTTTCTATAAGGCCTATTTGCCATTTGATGGGCAGGATTAGCATGTTTTACCAAAAGAAGTCCTGCTGTAGAATCACCAAAATCTCATGCAGCTGCTTTCAAAACTCTATCCACAAATTTTTGAAAAGGCTTATCATATCCTTGTTTGATCTTAGATATTTCCTCATATAATAAGCCTTTTGCTGGCAAATAACTCCATGCTTGCAGAGCAATGGCACTTACTTGAGCATGTACTCCAGGATTATATTGTAATTGATTTGAATTCCAAAATAAGGGCCTTCGCCTGCTAACATTTGATAATTTATGCCAGGATTTCCTGCTCTTAAGTTTGTTTCTGCAGTTCTATGACACTGTTCTGCATATTCAGATTTCCATAACAAATTGTCTCCCCATGAAAGACAAGCACGAGCTGTTTCCAATCCTCAGGAGGTAGAGCTTCAGTGGTCATTGACTCTAAAACAGACATCGTAAAAGGTGCAGTTGGTCCATATTGAGCACAGGCAGTTTTTAGTTCTTTGAGAGTCTTAAACGGAATGGGATGCCAGTTTCTTACTATTGTCTGTGTGCATCTCTTTCCTCAAGCACTGGACACTGCAAATAGAAGCCAGTAATATCTTCCTCAGCCTCTATGGCTTTGCTTTATACCTGCTTGCAAAGGGGAGCTAGATTAAGAATACTGTGTTAACTTTAACTCTAAAGGATTCCCCTATTTTTGCTCATCATAGCAACCAAAGGATCTTTCACCCTGACAGGAGATGTGCTGTGAGAACTGCAGCAGGAGCTGCCTTTACTCCTAGACTTTTTATTTTCATCCCTCACTTTCCCAAAAGTGGCTTTCAAAGTCTCTTCTAATTTAAAAAATAAAAAAATCTTTTTTCAACTGTTCACAATCCTTAGTAATATCCTGATTTTTAGTTACAGCAAATACTTGTGGAGGTCAACAATCATTTTGATACTTAGCTGCCTCTTCCTCTAAATTGGCCTCTTCTTCAGGAGTTATATTCAGGATTATCATCCTTAAAGTACCTTTTTTTAAACTTTCATATCATCTTTATTCTTTTTTAGTTTTATTATTTATTACAATTTATTCACTTTGTATCCCGGCAATGACCCCCTCCCTCTTCTCCTCCCATGCCCCTCTCCTAGTCCACTGATACGGAACGTCCTCCTCCCTTTCTCTGATTCTAGTTTACCAGGTCTCACCAAGGCTTTTTTTTTAATTATTTTTAAATTTATTACAATTTGTTCACTTTCCTTTTTAAATGCCTCAGCATCCTCATAAAGCAGTGGAGCAGCAGGCTCCTTTACTTTCACTTTTAACTCCTCTTCAACTGTGCTGTTACCTTCTCCTGCTCATGCGGAAGGTCTAAGCCGTCATGAATTAGTCCATAAACTGAAAGCATCTGTGGGGATCTTCTCAGGACCACGAGCAGTGTAGTCATCTTTCACATGTTCACCCACCTTATTCCATGTACTTATATTTACAATGCCTTCCTCTGAAAAACACAGATTTCCTCAACAAATGATAAAAACTAACACCTTGGCTCTTCTAGCTCTAAGTATAACTTTCAAGCATATGTGCAAAAAGCAACAGCTATTGCTCTGACCCATGTCTCCTGAAGATTACTCACCCCCCTACCTTTTTTTCTTGTACCGAGTGCTCTCTCTTCAGCAGTGTCCTTCACTTTGATCTCTCATAGTCATGCGCCACGTTGGGTGCCACCCAATGGAACCAGCTATAGGTAATTTGGGACACAATGGAAAGAGTAGGGATTGAGAAATTACAGGTTAAAAGAAAGACAGAAAACTTAGGATAGTTTCTGGGGGCCTATCAGTCAATACTGAAAGCACCAAGTTTATTCTACAGCTCCTTTTTAAAGACAAAGCAAAACAGTTCACATCAGTACAAGGATGGAGTTCATGGAAAAGTTAAACTTGTTTTCAAAGATTACATTCCTGTATGGCAGACATGGTCTGAGGTCTCACAGACATGTTAAAGAAACTTGGCAAAACCTCTGGCTTATTTCTGTTTCAAGGTAAAGGCTAGGGCAAAAACGTGCACCTTGCTGAACACTTAAAGCAGCCTGCCAAGCAAGCAGCTCTCCACGCACACAGCTTGAGAATGAACTTTGGCTTCCCACAGTGGATAAACAGCATTTTGGAAGCAGAAGCCAAATAGACCCTTTCCTCCCCAGCTGGCTTTTGTTCCTGGTGTTTTTATCACAGCAATAGTAACCATTACTAAGATCTATTTTTTTTCTTCTGACTCATACACTCATTTCAACCTCTCTTCTGGGATGTTCCCTGAACCTTGGAGGAGGTGATACGGATGTTCCATTTATGGATGAACATTCAATAGTTATTTATTCTCACTACTTTGAGTGGTTATAAGTCCTTCAGTGACTACTGCCCACTTTAAAAATTAGTTTCTCTAATCAAAGATGACAGAAGCAATTTTCTATAGGCATAAACATACAATTAGGAGACAATTTAGCAGGTATGTTACATCATTTCACACTCAACAGCCGTAACTTCACCACAATAAGAACCCCTACCCACTGGCTTTTGACTGAGTTTAAAGTAACAAATATAAACTCTGTCCAGTGGAACAGGCCTTAGTCCAGGCAGAAACCAGTTGTTTATACCCCAAGAGTACTGGCACTATTACACCAGTGGGAAATATTGCCTGGCATATTAGTAGATAGTGGAAAATATTGCCGGCATATTAGTATTGTAGTCCAAAGGGTTAACAGATGACTAAGACTTTTTATCACAATTCTCTCCCAGCACAGTGACTTTCATCACTGGCCAACAGGAAAAAAAGCTTCCAACTCAGTCCCAGATTTATTTTTCCATGTCCTATCTATTACTACAATGAAACACCATGACCAAAAGCAAAGGGGAGGAATGGGTTTCTTTGGCTTACACTTCTAGATCATAATCCATCATTAGAGGAAGTCAGGGCGGGAACTCAAACAGGGCTGGAACCTGGAGGCAGGAGCTGATGCAGAGGCCGTGGAGAGGTGCTGCTTATTGGCTTGCTTCTCATGGCTTTCTCAGCCTGCTTTCTTATAGAACCCAGGACCACCAGCCCAGGGAGGGCCCCACCTACAATGGGCTGGGCCATCCCACACTGATCACTAATTGAGAAAATGCCTTACAGCTGGATCTCATGGAGATATTTTCTCAACTGAGGCTCCTTCCTCTCTGATGACTCTAATTTGTGACAAGTTGATACACAAAAACAGGCAGTATATAGCTGACCCCTTGTCAACTTGACACAAACATATCACTCTTAAGCTACAACCTTTCCTTTCTCATTCATCTCCAAAAAATCTCACATTCAAAACATAACTTTAAAAATCATTACAAATTCAAACACATTAAAATTTCAGTCTCTTTAAAATATCCATTCTGTCTACAAATCCAAAATCTCTTTTAAACATTCAAGGTCTTTCAGCTGTGGGCACCTGTAAAAATCAAAATTAAATTCAATACCTTCTTCAAGAGGAAAGAACCAGGGCACAGTCAAAATATGAACAGAGCAAATCTAAACTCCGTATAGTTTAGATTTATAGTATAAAATAACAATGTCTTCTGTCTGGGATTCACACATGGTCTTCTGGGCTCCTCTGAAGGGCTTGGGTCCCTTCTCCAGCTCTGCCCTCTGCAGCATACACAACTTATCCTCTAGCCTCCAGCGGCCCCACTTCATTGCTGCTGCTGTTCTTGGTGACCATATGTTTCATGATACTGGCATCTCCCAAACTGCTAGGGTCCCTTGCTGCACCTGTGATGCACTTTCACCAATAGCCTAGCAGGGGCTCTCTTCCTTGTGCCAACTCTCAACTTCTTTGCATGGCCCCTTCCGTCCTGGGCCTTCAACTGCCACTGAGGCTGCACCTTCACCAATGGCCTTTCCTGGCCTCTCACTGTGCCAGGTGTCGGCTGTCCTCTACAACCCCTTAGTGCCTTCAAGACCAGTACCGCCTGGGTGACTCTTACACATCACCAAGTCTAGCTGCCAGCACAAAGTGCAACCTTGGTTGCCTCTGGAACACAGCTTCTCTGTGCTCTCAGAAAACGCTTCCCAGAAGATGCTGGTTTCCTTGTAACACTGCTAATTTCTTACCTGCAGCAAACCAGTATCAACTGTCACAGTAAAGCAAAGGTTTTGCTTTAAGTAGTTCTGGTATCTTGTTAATCACAGCTGATTCTTCAGCTCTAACTAACCAGAACCACAGAATCTTAAATCACAATAGCAAACGGCTCTCTGTATTGTCTCAAGCCAGGCCTCCATCCTCTGCACTGCTTATCTTCCAGACTCCTATAGAACATCTCCCTGAACTATTAACACCCAATAGCTCTCTTAGCCCAAAGTTCCAAAGTCCTTCCACAATCTTCCTCCAAAACATGGCCAGGCCTATCACGGCAACACCCCACTCTTGGTAGCATCTTATTTTAGTAAGGGTTTCTATTACTACAACGAAACACCATGACCAAATAGCAAGTTTGGGAGAAAAGAGTTTCTTTGGCTTACACTTCTAGCTCATAATCCATTATTAGAGGAAGTCAGGACAGTAACTTAAGCAGGGCTGGAACTTGGAGGCAGGAGCTGATGCAGAGGCCATGGAGAGAAATACTACTTACTGGCTTGTTTGCCATGGCTTATTTCAGTCTGCTTTCTTATAGAACCCAGGACTACCAGCCCAGGGACCACACCACCACCAACCATAGGCTGGACCTCCCCCATTGATCACTAATTGAGAAAATGATCTACAGCTGGATCTCATGGAGGCCTTTCCTCAACTGAGGCTCCTTCCTCTACAGTGACTCTAACTCGGGCTATTTAACTATTATTTTAACATCCACAGGCACAAGATGTTAAGAGTTTTCTCAGTCACCTTATTTGGTGTCAAATATACTTCCCTGAAAGGTCCTAAGAGTTTCATAGCTGTGTTTGGCCCTTTTACCCTGTGTGAATTGATTTCTCACCCTCACTCCTTTAGCTGTCCTTGTGTGTCTTTCAAAGGCTTTGCTAAATCTGCAAAACACTTGAGACTAGCATTACATTATCCATAAAACGAAACATTTTTTTTTTCAAAGAGGGGCAGAATCACTGAATGCCTACCACATATTTTCAAGCAAATGTCAGTTGATCTAACATTTGTGACTAAACAGATACTAAGAAAAAAAAATATTAGCAAGGCCCAACACAGCTTGAAACATTTCCATTGTTTGTGTCAATTATTTTCTTAAAAGACCAATGTAGAAACCAGTCGTGGTGGTGGAGGCCTCCACCTCCCAGAACTATGAGAGGCAAAGGCAGGCGATCTCTGTGAATTCGAGGCCAGCCTGGTCTACAAAGCGAATCCAGGACAGCCAAGGATACATAGAAAAACCCTGTCTTGAAAAACAAACACAAAACAAAAAACAAAATCAATGTTGAATACAGTAGTGCAGTGTGAGGCATCATCTTAGGCCTCCCAATTGCCACTCAGCCTCCTTGAGGCTACCACACATCTCCCACGTCAGTTGATGGGCCCAGGGTTGGCTCTCATTGATCTGAGAAAGAACGTGTGTGGCTGTGCTCTCTTCTCTAGGTCTTCATCTTCAGGATTGCCTGAGACTGTGTTTTCTTTATTGCTACTAATTCCGTTTTTTGGTCTTGAAAAGTTTTATTCATTTTCTTCTCCTGCTTGATTGTATTTTCCCATGTTTCCATAAAAGTTTTACTCAATTCTTTCACCTGTTTGATTGTATTTTCCTGTTTTTCTTTGAGAGCTTTATTTTCCTCCTTTAAGGCCTTTATCATCTTTATAACCTCAGATTTAAAATCTTTTTATTGCACTTTGGGTGTGATAGTATCTTCAGGGCTTGCTGTGGTCGGACCACAGTGGTGTCATACGCCCTGAGTTTTGTTGCTTGTGTTCTTACACTGGCCTGTAGGCATATGGTTGTCTCTGGTGGTAGGCCTGGTGGTCCCTCTGCTGGGTTGATTGTCTGTGTCCTAGGTAGGGTAGGCAGCTGTAGAGCAGGCGGGAAGATCTCCCAGCTGCACAATGTTCTGGTGCCCCACAGGCCTCCTCAGGATGGAGGACAATAGGTTCTGAGAACTGAAGCTGGGTCATCTCCACTGGGTTCACTGTGTCTGTGGTTGTGCTGTCATCTGGTATGTCCACACAGGCTTCCTGAATATGACAGTCTCTGAGCTAAAGCAGCCTTTGACAACATCTGGCTGCCAAGTGGACTCTGCACTATCTACTTCAGCTAATTTCCTGCAGGAGAGAAATGTACACAGATTGATCTTAGTAACTTAGCATCTTTGGGAAAGTTTCTCGAATACATTATTAGGAGTGTGGAGACCCACCAATTGTATGTGGCTCTAATCCCTGGCCAAGATCCTGGACAGTGTGAGTAGAGAAATGGGGGTTGAGCAGACAGCGTCTCCTCCTGTCTGAGTATGGATGTGATGGAATCAGTTTCTTACACCCAAGCTGCCCTCATCATGATGGTCTATACACCAAAACAAACCATTTTTCCCTTGTTGGTTTTGTTGTAGGTTTTTACATTATTTATTTGTGTGTGTGTGTGTGTGTGTGTGTGTGTGTGTGTGTGTGTCATAGGCATGCATGCCACCGCCTGCATGTGAAGCTCGAAATGAAGCTCCTTCACCTTGAAGGAGTCAGATCTTTCCTTCCATCATGCGGGTCCTGGAGACTGAACCTGGGTCATCAGGCTTGGAAGCAAGTGCTTTCACCCACCGAGCAATCTTGCCAGCCCTTGTCACAATAATTTGTCATGGCAATATGAAAAGGAACCATGACAAAATTTGCATTTCTATTTTTTCCTTAGAAATTCCAGCTTGATATAGGTCTTGCCACATTTGCTTTCAAGTAATCCAGACATATCCCAATGACCCGTTGTCTGTTTGCCTCTCATCTTTGGTGGTTGCTTTAGCACTTTATGGACATGATTTACACGCCAGTCTAAATCATTCAGATCTTCTAGGGCTTCTGTAAACATGTCCCAACCACTAAAGCCCCACACCAGCTCTAAGATCCCCTCCTCCACTGAATCAGTCCTTTAACTCTCCTGTGAAAATAGTCTTATCTGGCCTAGAGAACTGGACCTCATGGCTGAGGTCCAAACAAGTATCAGGAACTTGTGGAGGACAGTGAAGGAAGGACAGTTGTTGGGACATCAGCCAATGATAACCAAGTGTAGCTAATGACTTACTTAAATCAGCCCATCAGGGAATAATTCTTGTGTTTACTCAGATTATGCAACTTTGGTCTCCAGGGATCTGGCCATTTAGTTTCTCTGCTTCCACAGTACGCAGACTGACCTCGTGTGCCTCAGCCTCATAAATCAAGTTGTGTCATTTCTTGTTTAAAGGTAGAATACTCTATCAGTTTCCTGTATCAGACCATTACTAAGATCCCCATCTGCATTCTGTACTAGGGATTTTCCCTTCTTTTTTATTAAACTTCAGAACTGATGGTTGTTTTCTATCATTTGTACCTCATGATCTTTCCTTTACAGCCTAAATCTCCCCATGTGTTCCACATTTCAGATCCCAGGAAGGGCTATTTAGCAGATAACAATTCATATGTTCTTTCTCTTATCCTGACCCTCTGCCTTCATCATAAGAAAGGGAAAACTAGAGTTTGAGTGCAGCACTGTTCACGCTGTGGAGCCACTGAGGTTATTAGGCTTACTTACACACTGTGGGTAAAGGATTATGGGCAGCAATATGAGTGACCTATGGCAATGAAAGTCAACATCCAACATGGATGATCACTCCTCCACGGATGCCGAGATAAAGCCCTCTTTCGACCCCTAAGGCCAGGTGGAAGAATGGCATGCAATAGGGTCTGGATACCCAGGTGAGGGTTCAATGTCCTTTCCCACACCTGTCTTTGAGACGGAATATCAGCAGTAAACAAGGCTGCCTGTGATGAATATTTTCAAGCAGAAACAGCTGGTCGTAGGAGGGCGGCATCTATTTTGCTAAGGGGATAATACAGTGCAATTCAGAAACTAGTGCAGAGAATAGCATCTACATGTTTTTCGTGTAACTTCTGTGAATAAGAGTTCCTGGAAATAAGCTATGTCTGCAAAGGCGGGTTGACTGATTTAAAACTTCAGTGATGTGGAGAAGCTGGAATGTTGCAATTCTTACACCATAGTTACAGCTTATCTTCGGCTATTTTTTAATGCTACATTTTTTTTTCTTGCTCCTTTCTGTGTCAGACACAACATTTTAACAGACAAAACCTTCTGAAATATATTAACAAAACCCTAGTTTTTCACCAATCAAAGGGTTAACAGTGTTGCCAGATAGCATAGAAGACCTATAGCGTACCAATGTATTTGAAAGGTGCCTTGATTTATGATTTATCTTTTTCTTTTTTTGTTACTGCAAAAAGTTCATAAAGTTTCTACCTATTAGAACATAGAATTTGGGGCAACCAAAATCTGTCTTCTCTGGGGCAGCCATCACTACTCATATTTGGCTACAGAATAAATTCCTGCTTCTCTTTATCCTCTTTGAGGCGAGGACTGTTTTGTATTGATAGTTATAAGTCCCACTGTGGGGCTCCAAGAAGGATACAGTTCAGAGGAGTCACCTGAAGTAACGTACTTGCATAGACCCACTGCATCCAAGCCATTAGCCTTCCTTTCCTCAGGCAGTGGGTGCTCTCGGAGGGAACTTCTCGGCTCTCTTGGTTTGGTCTTAATAGTTCATTCTGGTGTTTGGCCTGCACTGAGCTCTCTAATGCTTAGGGGAACTCCTAGGCTGCTAATGGTGGCTACATCTTAGGCATTTATGCTGAGTTCTATCTTCAAGCATCGTTGGTGAGTTTGTCAATTGCCTGACTAATCTACCCTGCTAAGCATGGCTTGCATGTTAGCTTGTGAATCTTTGCTTCTGTTTTTCTGACTAACCATGAAATAAAAACCAACATCTGAATAAAAATAAAATTCTGATTTCTAACATGTCTGATGTAATTTCTATCAGTGTTATCAATAGTTGGTACATTAAAAAAAAACACTCATTAAAATAAAGTTTTTAACAATACTGCATTGTTATCTATTTTCTTCTATAATTATGTGGCTTTCCATTTGCCATTTTCAAGCTAAATCAGGTGTAATACCAATATAATGAAACATATGAAGACAGTGTCCACAATGAGAAATATTAAAGATCTTTTCTAGCGATAGAACTAGCCATTCTACAGGAGTTAACAGCTATAGCATCAAATCACTTTGGAATGTACAGACCACTGTCTTCCATAGGATATCTGTGAGGAGTCCCAGTGAGGTTCCAATGTTGATAAAGTAGCAGAAGCCAGAAGCCTCATACCACACCGAGTCACTGCAATAAACATTTGCAAGCAAGGAAGAGTGGACAAAAGAGTGTGCTATGGAAACACTGTGACACACAACAGCTTCCACGATGAAAACTATATTGACAGAAATAATTAACATGAGTACACATATTTCTTCACTTGCAAGAAGCACATAGTATGAACCTTACCATGAACATATGTGTGTGTGTGTGTGTGTGTGTGTGTGTTCGTGTGTATAAAGTTTTGTTTTTTTTTTTCACCAGAGCTCCAAACTGGGATACGTGGAACCCCTGAGTGTGAAAGAGAAGCTCCTGCCCAGGGTGCTAATTCTTTAGTACGGGAATGGGTAGAGCTACTAAGTTTGGTATAAATTCTGACTACATTACGATATGGTGCATGGTGATCCTAGTTAGTTGTATCAGCAGTTACTCCATCACCCACCCAGCTCTGTATCTTGTCAAACTGAGTTTTAAATGTCCCTGTATACATCAACTCTATTCCCTTGGAGTGCCTACAGAGCGCTAGGTACCAATTCATGTTAGCTGCAGGCCTGCAAGCGCATCTGTACGTTAAAAATCTGGATTTCGGTCCAGTTTTGTGACATAGTCACAGTTATCCTCACTGAAGACAATTTAGCCATAAAAACAACAAAACAAACAACAAACAAAACTGATCAAGCTAACTTTTAAGTAAAAAAGCTGTGTCTCATTTATTATTGAAACATTAATGTGAAACCTTGACGTTCAAGAGACTACAAACCATCTAGATGTAAAGACAAAGCTCGCAAATCACATAAGGAATGATTTAATAGTACCTTGGAGGCCTTCCACTTACCCACACCCCCTCGAAAACAAGAGTCCTATTTTTAGTTGAATAAATTCTGGCGGAAAGTATCTTTTTTGCACCTAGGGAAGCACAGCATATCCTAGCAAGGCTCAAGCACGGAACGAGATCTGGTACCTAAGTACACCGGCGTTTCCGGCCGGACACTTCCATGGTCCCCGGAAGAAGGGATGGTTGATAAGCGACAAGCAATGCCACATTTAACATGGCCGCCTCGCCTGGACGTAGCCACACCCAATATGACGCAGTCAGGCCCGCCCAGGCCCAGCCCCCGATGACACTCTTTCGGGAGGCTCTAGAGGCGGCGGAAGCGGAAGCGCTGCGGAGGTGGGGGCCGCAGGAAGAGTCTGTCGAGGTTCTCGGTCCCTCTCAACCACAAAAACAGGCGGAGGGCCGGTGTAAGTGAGCCGCGGCCTGGGAGGCTGTCGTGAAGGTGGAGGTGCGCGGTTTTGGGCAGATGAACGGGTTCGGGGCTCCCACCCCCCCAAACCCTCGCTCTTGGGCTCTGGAACTCCTACGCGTAGAGAAAGGAGTGTCTGACTATTTAGTTCTGGCCTTGTAGGCCTTGCTTGTTAGGCACCCAGCCCTCTATTCCGCCATGCAGAGTCTTCTCTGGGTCTCGGTTTTCATCAAGGAAATGGGAGGTTTGGCTGGACTTTGCGCCCCTCCCCCAGCTCACAGTTTGGGCGTCAGCAATGCAACGATGTTAACGTTGAGTCGTTTAGGCCAGTAAAATTGAGGAACTCCTGATTAGCTCTAGTATGATGCGGTCAACTCAACTTGTGAAAAAAAAAATTGGGAGACCTTGGTTTCCGTCCCAGGGTTACTGTTCACTTAGTGGTTATTTTTGAGCAGATCCTTTCATTGTTTTGAACATGGAATTTCCCATGTTTCAGAGCAAAGTGTTGGAGTAAAACACTGGCTGTATCTCCTTTCCCACTCCCACCCCATCACAAATGGAAGATACACTGGGTTCCTGTAAAGTTGTTATTTTTAGCTGGGAGAAATTGAAACATGGAAAGCACATACCATGTAGTTATAGACTGAGAATATCTATTTTGTAGTTTTAACTTTTGTTTGAGAATCACCATTTTTAGGTGACTGGAAACACTCCATCCCTCTTGTCATTAGTTTGTGATGTTGCAGTAGTACTGTATTTGGGAGAAGGGTGTTGAGTGTATGTGCGTGTTGTAGAACACCTTCCTTCAAGCTTAACAGCCATCAGTCTTTGTCAGAGCATGCAATGACTTCCCACAAAAGTCCCTACTGTTTGTTGACATCCCTTCATAGAAGGGCGGAGGAGCTGTTCATTTGCCCCTCACCTCCCATAACTCTTGGCCAGTTGTATATAATTCTGCCCTAATTGTAGATGGCCTCTTGGTAGGGAGGTACCAAAGTATATGTAGTCTGGGAAGGTTAACTGTAGGGGGAAGAACTGTTTGGGTGCAGCCGTGGGGATGCCCTCATCCATACCAGGCGAAGCCTTGGCAGTCTGGCTGCTTCCCAGTATACCAGACTCCTGTAAGGAGGCCCTCAGCCATGCTGTGTAAGTAGTACACACATTAGTTCCCCAGGGTAAACTTTGATGGAATTGTACTTTAGTTTGTCATTTGGGGCCTCATAAGGGAGATTTATTTCTCCCTAGGGAAGTAATTGAGACAAGTGTGTGTGTGTGTGTGTGTGTGTGTGTGTTGCTGTATGCTAGAGGTACACATTTTATTTTTAGTCAAAATGACATAACAGAAGAGAAAGGGAAAATAGCATTTCACTAAAGTTAGGTGGTGTAAAAATTGGTCTTGAACTGGAATTGAAGGGCCAGATCCTTATTTCAGAAATGGTACGTCCTGCCTCAGTGACAGATGTGTATCATTTTGGTACTCGTTTTCATTATTTGTAAAATAGTTGAACTAGATTCCTTGTCCTTTTCATCAGTAAAGGTTTGGCCCCCACTCCCCTTTTCAGTCAAAGTAATATGGATGATTGACACTTTTGGAGCAAGAGGATACATCTTTGATAGTAGGTACATAAAAAGTTCTCTGAATATTAAGTGATTTGCAAGATTACTTTGGTATAACAAACTGAAGCCAACAGAAAATACAGAGGCATTAGAAACCTTGGTGGTATAAGACCATTGGGGTGATTTGAGGAGATTTTGTTTTGCATTTATGTTTGTTTTTTTAGGGTAATGAGATGTCATTTGATTATACTAAGTTGAAATGATTGAAGAGAAATGTGGTAGAATCTTTCTAAGAGGAGAAGCCATGTGAGAAGGCTTTGCTGCCACCTTGTACTTACCAAACAATAAATGAATGAGTGAGGGGATGGAGGAATGATTAGATATAGTAATCAAAACTGGAAGGGATCTTTTGAAGAGAATTGCCGTTGATTAGATACAGATTGAGACATTTATTCAGAATTGTGAAAAAAAAAAAAATCTTAACAGATCCCTGCAGATGCCCAGATGAGGAGAGGGGTAGTTACTCCTTTCTAATTAGTAGCCAGTGATAAAGGTACTAACGAGATATGTCAGGTAGAAGAAGATTGTCACTTGAAAGGGGTTTAAGGAGTCCAGGAGGTAACGTTTGTAGGCACAGGTGATTTCAAATTTATGCATGGTGTTAAGTAAATACATCTATGATAGAAGTACACAATTAAAAGAACTTAATTGCAAGCAAGGGCATGTTGAAGCATTAAAGCTTAAGACAGGCACAATTTGAGGAGCAACCCAAATGATTTTGTTGGGTTATATTGTCCTTTTAGCTCTGGGATATGGAATGATAAGGGACTATCCAGGTGGCTGTGGGCTGCTGTGTGAAGCCTGACTTTGTGAAGGAGAGTATGGTCAGAATTCTAATTGGAGCGTCCTGAAGTCCATCCCTAGGCTCTGGGGTGCAGCTCTGGAATGTGGAGAGACAGCTGTGGTGGCTGAGGACTGACAGTCTTAGGGGACATTCCATAGGCTAGGAAGTCTGAGTCTTTACACTATTTGACCCAAGGCAAGTGACTTTATGATTTACACCCTCTGGTTCTTTGTTCATGTAAAAGAGTCTCTGAATTTTTATTTGTAATTCTGTTTGCAAGAGAGTAGGAGAGAGAAGCGACACTGTCATAGTCTCAGATGAGTTTGTAGCCCACAGAAAGTCAGCCGTGTAACTAGGTAGTCTCAGAGGGTGCCTTCAGTATTTGATATTCAGGGACTGTCATTTCTGTCAGAGTATCATTTATTGGAGGTTCAGAGCCTCCAAACATTGTTAACTTTAGGAATGATGCTTGGTATTTTAAAATACCATCTTTCTACATTTACATTTATGTGTTGTTTATAGTTGCCTGTCCCTTATCCTCCAGGCTTATCTTTCATCTGCTGCGCGTAACTAGAATTGTCTTCAGCCTGTCTTTTAATCTTCAACTCTCTTACACCTTTGCATTTCTCCAGGGAAGCAGAATGGTTTACTGGTGTGGGGATGTAAGAGGTGGGAAGAAAGGAACATGAAGGCTCGTCATGGCAGTGGCCTTCATCTTTACTTGCTTTTTAATCCCCCTTATCAGGAAGGATAGTCTCTTTCCCGGAGAGATGCTATCCTACTTTGTCATGAATTGGTGTCTTCTTCACATGCAGGAGCACAGGGCCCTGTTCCTCAGTGCTTGAACTAACATAGCTTAGCTCAACATAGCTTAGCTTGGTATGTGATGTAAATGAGATGATGCCCACTTGAGTTGAACAGTTCTGTTGTCTTTTGTCAGTATGCACTGGGGCTAAGGAAAAATAAAAGAGGCCTCATGAGGAAGATTTTTTTCTCCTGTATGTTTCCAGAGGATCTGCTTGTGCTTGAGAGGGCTTCGCCTTGGCTTTATGCCATTCCCTATCAACCTCCTGCTGTAAAGGGCTGTCTCTTACCCAGTGTCATCTCAAGTCCTCCCTTCCCCAAAGACTTACAGCCTCTTTTACCAGACAGGTATGTACTTAAAAGAACACACGTTTAATTATAGGCTTAATGTCGGAGCTACGAGTACACTGTGAACCCTGATAATTTAGTTATTTTTTTTTGTCTCTAGTTTTTTATTTTAGATGCAGAATGTAGGCTAAGTAGACTTCCATGAGCTTGTTAGATACATAGCTTCTATATGATTTATTTCTGTAGTTTTTGAGTCCTAAACAAGTGAATTTTGTAAACTTAATTATATTAAGGCTAGTTAATATGGAATTTTAAGTGTATGAGGGACACTGGGGGTTACTAAATACAGCTTAGAAAGCACTGCAAAATAATAACACATAATCAGAGATACAGTTGTCAGAGCAAGGTGCTTTACATGGGTTGGATTTGGTAGGGTGAAAAGGAACAAGGGCTAAGGGAAAGCAGTAGCCTGTCATTTGAAGGGCTGTCAAAATTCTTCAACCTGAAGCATGTGTTCAGTACCTGGAGGACTGTTCTAAACATCGGGGCAGTTCCCAGGTAGGTTGAGCTCTGGGAGTTAATTATGCTTTAGAGCTCTTGTATGTTGTAAGTAGCTGTTATGTGTGTGTTTATTGGACTAAACTCCTGATAGTATTTATTGCTAAGATTATTGAATGCCGTGGCAGCAAACTGCTAGCAAGAGTGTGAAATGATAAGTGGGCACATACAGAATAATAGATTTATTATAAGTAAAGACTTGTTAGCTCCTGGAGGTGAGATTGAGATCCTTTCCTGGCAAAAGCATGGCAGACAGACGTTAACAGAAATTGCTGTAGAAACATATGATCCAGAGAGTACTCAATCCACAATTTAAATTGAAGTTTGAAAGCTAATTAATGGTTTCCTAGACTAGAGAGGAGGGTCTAGAGAGAAGGGGAAATAGGGAGGGGAAATAGAAATATTGAGTATTCTGGCCAGAGTTAATAACGTATAAAGGAAGATTTGTTTAGAAAGCTGAATGGATGCTGGTCCTACTGTAGTGTACCAGGGAGTCACAGGTAAGGGTTGGAAGGTGAGATTAGAAAAGTAGCTTGAGGCTGGATTGGAAAGATCCTTACCCTTTAGAAGCCAGGGTTCCTTGAAGACTGATTTCCTTCCCTTTTTTTTTCCTTCCGTTCTCCTTCCCCTTCTTCCCCTTCCCCTTTTTCCCTTCCCCTTGAAGACTGATTTTCTTTCCTTTTTCCTTTCCTTCCCTTCCCCTTCTTCCCCTTCCCTTTTTTCTTTGCTTT